CAAGAGTATCTCCAACAGTATGTGAGTTGTAGGAAAAAAACCTTCTTCAACAGTGATTTTTTTACTCCTATTTGTGTTGATGTGGCATGAAAGACAAAACAGTAACTCTAGAAGTCCTTCTACATGTGAAAGTCCTTTTAGATTTGATGAGTCATTTTTCCTCCTTAGTTACAGTTACAAAATAAATGAATAATGTAAAGATAGAAATAAACCACTTGAGACTTTTTATAGGCTGAACCTCTATTTGTTTCATGTGGATGGAAGACCATCAATTTATTTGTCACATATACTACAATTCATGCGCACTGTTGAAGATGCTCTTAATAACTACATAACAACTATATTTTCTAGAAAGATTAAATACAAATTGAAAAACTCTGCACCGAAATTGAGATATAAGTCTAATTACGACAAAAAAAAATCATAATAACATACCTTTATTTGCAATGTAATCTATTTTGTTAGTTTCATTGAAATTAATTATTTTATTTGTAATGACTCTTAGGGCATCCGCATGTACCATTCATTTAAATACAAAAGTATTTTCTCTTTCACTCACTTTATCTCACATCATCATTCTACTAAAATTTACTCATTTAAACATTATTGGTTCATACATTTAAATATAAATGAGCGGGCCCCAATGTCTTACTTATTTAATAATATTTTTTATTTTATATCTTTTTTTTATAAATATAATAATATTTATATAATAAAATACCATTGAATGTCATGGATCCCACCCTAAATACCAATCAAATGAATGGTTGCATTGGTTTGAATGGTGTAGTATGCCATTTAAGTGACTTATCAATGGTGAGATGTGGATATCCTTAGATCGATTTGAGTTGGCGAGTAATTATATAAATATTTCCATTTTATCCACATTTCGTTTCTTTTCACATTTATGTTTAATTATCTACACCAACCACCCAGTCAATAGAAGACAAAAAAAAATTATGCAATGTAAATTTTATAATTGAACAAGAAGGTGTGCTTATAGAGTTAACAGAAGCCACATTTTTTTTTTTTGGACAAACTTAAAAATGTGATGATAATTTTTTTGCAAAAATCCATAACTACCCTTTTGAAATTGGTCATTTACAGAGTTGCAGTGGTTACCACACAATTCCTTGACAACATATAAGTTTCCAAAAAGTACCTATCTTGAATATGTATTAAATAATTAACGACACTATTGACAGCTCAAAATATTTAGAGACCAGTTGAGAAAAACCGACCACTTTCTCAAGTTTTTATTTATAACCACCCCATATCCATCAGTTTTTTCTTTAACAATTTCAAAAATAAATTAGCACTTAAAAAGCTATCTGCAGAAACAAAAAAACAACTTCACCAACAATGAAAAGGGTTATATAACTGCAACAAACAAAGAAAAGAAGAAAAGCTTGAAATCCACGTTATTAATGCGACAAAAATTTGCAGAAGGCAATCAGGTGTCCATTATTTTTCAATTTTTCCTAAGAAATTTGTTATAATTACTGAGTTTGTTTAGAATATCAACGTTATCTAACAGTAATTTTTTTTATTTCTTAACTGCAGATCATAATGCAGTCTTCTCTTACATTTGTTCACTACAATGGAGAGTGGGAAACTGAAAAGAAATACAGTAGGTATGAAGTCTGCGGGATTGTCATAGAAGATTATTGCAACTTTGAGCAACTTAAAGTAATCCTTGAAGAAACCTTGGGGTTTAACTCATCAAGAGGAAACCTAACAATTAAATACCAAGTGAATGATGAGTACCCTCCAATCGGCATAACCGACGATAGAAGCCTTCAGTTCTACAAAGAGCTAAAAAAAAGGGAATCCAACTACACACGATTTCCGATCTGTACAACCTTCTAAAGGGAAGACAATCAACTGACACTCAGCCACACGGAACCCACAGGCGCAAAAGCAAATTTATCGTGCAACATACAACTTTTAGATTCAATGGCACTGACCAGATATTGCTGTGCCGAAAATCAGCCATCACGGCAGATATATTATGTTGCTAAATCTTCGAGTGCACTTGCAGTCCACATTGAAGAAAGCGTGGACAAAATGCTAGTGCAAAAATCCACATCCAATGACCATCCTAGCAATAGCAACAGAGATGTCACCATTCTTGAAGGGCAAACATATAGATACAAGATGGAGCTTAAACAGACAATAAGCATGTATGCCATCAAACACCAATTTCAGTTTTGTGTTGTGAAGTCTTGCCCTAAACAGTACACACTAAGATGCATAGATGATTCATGTCCATGGTCTTTGAGAGCTTCTTCTATTGGTGATTCATCTATATTCAAAGTACGTCGTATGCATGACGTCCATCTGTGTACCCTTGGTAAACGTATGAATGGAAAACGGCAAGCCACGGCAAAGCTGGTGGGTTCTTGCATTGAAGAGAAGTTTGATAACTTAAAAACTAATTACGCACCACGTGATGTCATCCGAGACATGCGTAGACAATATGGTGTTGATCTAACATACAAGAGAGCATGGCGCGCAAGACGTTTGGCTTTAGAAGCAGTGCGGGGGAATCCTTTTGATTCTTACAATTTAATACCGAGTTACATTCAAGAATTATCTGAAACAAATCCCGGATCAGTTCTGAAGCTACAAAAGACAAACGAAAACATATTTGAATATGTTTTTATCTCGCTCCATGCCTCAATCAAAGGATGAGAACATTGTCGGCCAATAATTATAGTGGACGGAACTTTTCTTAAAGCGGCTTACGGAGGGACTCTAATTACAGCAAGTACACAGGACGCTGCATCCCATATATTACCACTTGCCTTCGGCTAGTTGACTCTGAAAACAACAAAGCTTACGAATGGTTTTTCAAACACTTGAAGTCAACTCTTGCAGCACGAGAAGGCCTGTGCATTGTTTCAGACAGACACAAAAGCATTAAGCATGCCATTCAGAAGGTACTTTTACTATTGCAACCCATTCAATATACATATGATAATGATAATGATGATGATGATGATGATGATCATAATAATAATAATAATAATAATAATAATAATTATAATAATAATAATAATAATAATAATAATAATAAACAGTTTCATATTATTTAATAGGACGCAATTTATTTTTAGAAAAATATATTGAAAAAAATAAAATTTGAAACATATGATAAAATAATGATATTGTTATTTGTTTCCACTATGACATTTTATATGAAATTGTAACAGGTATTTCCTGAAGCATCACACTGCAATTGTATTTACCATTTGTCCAAGAATATAGCTAAAAAGTTAAAAAAAAACTCTGAGGCTGTAAAAGAGGCTTTCATGGCAGCTTCTCGATCATACACACTGTTCGACTTTAACCGACACATGTCTATGATTGGTCGGAAAAAGTGTGTATTTTATATATTTATTAGCGTATTTTTATATGCTTAATTTGTATCACACTTATATGTTTTTCGGCTTATTTATTTATTAGATGGATTTGAGTGCTATGATATTTTTGTGCATTATTTTCAGACTATTGGGCTACTTTTATGGACGGCGAGATATTAAACGGAAGTTCCAACACAGCGAGTATGGGGGTGTCCCGTACTGAACCAGCAGACCCCGTACTCCTGTAGCAGGCCCAAGCAATTCACGATTAGAAGGCTTGGAGAAATTAATATAATTGGGCCTACATATTTTGTGTTTGAAGGAAGTGGGCTGCGTGGGAATGCTGACAGGAATAGGAAAGGGCCCACTCATGAGCTTAATTGGAGAGGAGCTTAATACTTTGATACATACATACATAAGTTTGGAGGATATGTGAGTTTTTGTGGGCCTGAGAGCCCAATTCATGGGAATTAATTTCACGCAATTGGCATGAGAGGAGGAAAATAAAGGGCAGCAACCAATTTATATATATTCACGCCCCAACCATCAGATTATGGACGCACAGACACAGCCACCACGATTCACGCCAAAAGAAAAAAAAGACGCAGAGCCGTACGGACAGAAAAAAGGCGGACAGAGAGGAGCCCGACGAATTGCGGAGGGAGGCCGCACCCGCACACGAGGGAGATAATTAATCTCTCTCTTTTATCTTTTTCTTTTTATTTTATTATGTTAGAGTAGTTTTTATTCTAGTTCCGGGGATGTCGAACCCTATGACTTGACGATGTTTGATTAATTTTCATGGTTGATTATTGAGTTGTCTTTTTGGAATTGTTTGTGTTATTTTGAATAATTCACCATGATGTGTGAGTCTTGTTTAGATTGATCACCTAGATTAGGCTTTTCATATCTACATCTGAATTAGGCCTGCAATCCGTAATTGTTGTTGTGTTTAATTCATAAGAGGTAACCGGAAGATGGTAACTACCGGGGATAACACGGCCTATTTAAGTGAACGAACGCGGTTGAGTTCACTACTTAGTCTAGCCTATTTTCCTAATTCGTAAAGCGGCTAATTGTATTAAATCTTGAAAAGGACTGTACAAGAAGTCAGGTTTAATCGTCGAGCGTCTCGTGGTTAAATTAAAAATAAGGAAGAATTCGGGTAACTGACCGTGTCGTTGCCTAGGGCTAGTAATTTCATGAGATAGCGAGATTTGATACTAAAATTGATTAGACGAGTCAGTCGAGGGTGTAGACGGAACCGTGAACTAGAAAGTTCCCTTCATTTATTTATTTTTATTCTTTTTATTTTCATTGTTTAGATTTTATTTATTTAGTTAGGATCTTAGTTATTAAATCAACCCCCCTCTTTTATTGATTTCATAATTTCAATTAATACGAGAAAATTCACGATTTGATTCACACTCCTCGTGGGATCGACCCTTGCTCGCCACTACTACTAGTTAGTAGAGGTTAGTTGAGGAAAAATTTAAATATTAATTTTGCCGCGTTGCGACGCGCGGTCAGTCTACAATAAGAAAATCAAACCCAAGCGTGGTCACATTCCTTGAAGAAGAAATTGGCTTGGAAAAATGGTCCCGTCTACATTGCAAGGGAAACCGGTTCCTTACAATGACCTCGAATGCCGCCGAAACAATTAATTCCGCAATGAAAGTTGCACGTGAGTTACCCATAACACCACTTCTTGAGTGCTTAAGGGGAATGCAGCAAGAATGGAATGTAAAAAATAGAGCTGAAGCAGAAGGAACCTTTACAAAGCTGGCAAAGCTTGGGCACAAAATGTTGACAGAGAATTACACAGCCTCCATGCATTTAACAGTAAGTAAAACCTTTTATCATTAATACTAATTTTTTTTTTATTTTTTTTTTAAATTTTCAGCATGCTTCACCCTATATTTTGTAGATGCAAAAGGCCAACAATAAAATTTTCAAGGTATGTAAAGGGCCAAATGTGTTTGTTGTGGATATTGAAAAGAAAACTTGTTCGTGTAATCGATTTCAAATGGACGAACTCCCGTGCCCTCATGCAATATGTGCAATACGTGGAATTCACGAAGACCCAGAGCCATATTGTTCGAAATATTATTACACGGAAACAATGTTAGGTACATATTCAGAAGCAGTGTATCCAGTTGGAATTGATACCACAACACCCATTGCAAATAACAAGGAAGAAGTGATTCCACCACCTCAATTGTCCCAAACAGGAAGGAAGAAACGAAAAAGATACCTATCCAGTTGGGAAAAGGGCTACAAAAGTACTGGAGCAAAACATAGCCAAACTGTCAGTGATAAAGACATAGAGCAACTTGGAAGCACAGACACTTGTACCCCGCTTTTATTTTAGAAATTCTTGAAATAAATAAACATTATGCCTATCTTGAAAGAGTGAATAATTTTTAATTGTTTCATGTCCATTTGTTTACATGTACGAGTCAAATATATAAAAAATTGAGTTTAGATTTATATTATATATTTACAGTATACGAAAAATAATCAATTGTATAATGGTGCCAAGGATGAACCGATTTCTCCACTACTGACATGTTAAAAAAAATAAACTCCCAAAAAAAAGTAACACATAATACCAGTCTTATTTAGCAGCCTACAAAAAATATTTTTTGATAAACCCGTAAAAACAAATAAGAATCCACAATTACAGGTTATGATAAAAATAATCGTCCTCATAATCCAACTTGTAAATACTAAATAGTGATGTTACGCTTTTCTATTTGAACATCAAAACATCAACTGAAATATAAGTACACTTATAAATAGTGACATTACATTTTTGCCCAAACAACAGACAAATCAAATAAATTATAACCAGAAAATATGTTTCAGACAAAACAAAGGTTTGAAAAAAAAAATGTTTGAGTAACCCAACCGGTTTTAATAATCCAACCGTCACCACTTTCCCTCAAAAGACGCGGTTGTGAAGATCATAATAACTTCTGTTCATAATAACTTCTTTATTAACTGAAAAACAGCCAACACGTATTTAGGTCAAAATAAAAGTACAATAAAGAACAAAAGATCCGTAAGTGAAAAACGAAACGAGGGGTTGTTAAAGAGTAAATAAAATATATAAGATTCCATGCGGGGTCATTTCCTCTAATTTTTTTTGGTTTTTACAAAACAATCTTCAATTAAAATGAAAAATCCGACCTTAATGTCACTGCTATTATTTGCTTCTTTATTGGACTAAACACGGATCCATCATCAAGCCCAAACTGGCCCAAAGTTGTGGCCTTTAACGGCTACAATTATATTTTATTTTATATATTTATTATTTAATAATGCATCGCAACCTGATTCACCGGTTGCAGGTTAAAACCACTCTTCCACCACAACGCAGCTGGAAGCAATCCTTCCTTTTCAAATAATCCAAACCCTTCTTCACAATTTCTTCCTCCCCTCCTCTTTCCTCGCTCTTTCTTTCTCTCTCATCAAGGTACTCGCCATATCTGTATTTTCTTGTGTGCTCTTTTTCATATTTTTGATCGATCTATTTTGTTCACCGATTTGTTTTTGATTGATCCCGGAGTTCGCTAGGTTTTGTAATTTGGAACGATGTCGCTGAGGCCGGGCACTAGGGCGGAGGTTCGCCGCAGCCGCTACAAGGTCGCGGTGGACGCCGACGAGGGGCGGCGTCGGAGGGAGGACAACATGGTCGAGATCCGTAAAAACAAGCGCGAGGAGAGTTTGCTGAAGAAGCGAAGGGAAGGGCTCCAACAGCAGCAGCAGTTCTCGGCGTCTCTTCAATCGTCTGCGGTCGAGAAAAAGGTAGATTTCTCTTTATGTCATGATGGGCAGAACTTTAATTGGACAGTACTTATTGGATTCTGTAATTCTAGTTATCTACGTAGTTCATATGACTGTAAGGTTGCAAGTGACTGTGCCGTTCATATGAACATGTCCGTGTAACAATTATTGATCTTATGTCTGGATTGAATTGAAATTTGCCATTTGGATTTTTGTCTTGTCTGGGATCTTGTTTGTTAACTCTTATTTGGCGAGACTTCTTTTGGAAAGTGGAATTAACTACTGAATAGTTTAGTCTATAGGTTGACCTTGAATTCAATACCTCGCCTGATGAATAAGTTCTTATGGAGTCTTTGCTCTTGCGGCTTATTAGTATTATGTTCTGCTGTTCTGTTATGATTTTGTTGCTGTGTTGTGTTCAAATTCGTTATAGGTGAATCCTATTTTGTTCTGTTTATGAGTTTAATTAATTTTAATTGTCTTGTGAGGAAACAAAATCATTTTTTGTTATGCTGGTATCTGCTCGTGTGTGGTACAAGTTTATTATTAATGAGCCAATTATATCTATCCCTATGCATATAAGGGAGTAATATGTGCCAGATTGTATCATAGTAACTATGGGTTCGCATGTTTGTAATTGAACATTAAACACTATGGCTGATTGATAATTTTTTATCTAAAAAAAATTGTGGATCTTCCTTTCGATGAAGGATTTAATAAGTGTAGCATTTTCTCTTTCTTATTTCTTTCTTTTTATTTTTATGTTCTTGATTGGGTGGCTTTATTCCATTTATGGTTGTCCCTATCTGTATGGAATATGTTAACCTTGTACTATATGCAGCTGGAGAGCCTTCCTTCAATGGTCGCTGGCGTATGGTCGAATGATGCCAACTTGCAGCTAGAAGCAACTACCCAATTCCGCAAATTACTTTCAATTGGTATGAATTGTGTTATCATATGTTATGGTTCACTTTGTCTGTATATCTTATTGTGATTTACTGGCTGTGGTCTTTTTTTTCATGACTGCCACTCCTATATTATTAACAGAAAGGAGCCCTCCAATAGAAGAAGTAATACAATCAGGTGTTGTTCCTAGATTCGTTGAGTTCCTTACAAGAGAGGATTTCCCCCAGCTCCAGGTTTTCCCAACGTGTCCAAGGCTTATTCAAAAACAATTAAATGCATGGTTTCCATTTTTTCATTCACATCTTAAGAATCTTTTACAGTTTGAAGCTGCATGGGCGCTCACCAACATTGCATCTGGTACTTCAGAAAACACCAGGGTGGTTATTGATCATGGAGCAGTACCCATTTTTGTAAAGCTTCTGGGTTCACCCAGTGATGATGTTCGTGAGCAGGTGTTTCCTCTCTTTCAAATTTTACACTCAGTTTATATAATATCCAGCAGCTGGGATGATTCTTGTGTGTTATTAACTGTTTCCCTTTAAAAAAAATTGTAGGCTGTGTGGGCATTAGGTAATGTTGCTGGTGATTCTCCTAAGTGCCGTGACCTTGTCCTTGGTTATGGTGCTTTGATTCCTTTGCTTTCTCAGCTGAATGAGAATGCAAAGCTTTCGATGCTGAGAAATGCTACCTGGACGTTGTCAAACTTCTGCAGAGGCAAACCCCAGCCTCCCTTTGAGCAGGTAATGGATTTTATTTTAGTTTACATTGGAGGATATGGTGTTTTCAGCTTGTTATTTGATGAGATGTTATCTACTTCTTTCATCAGGTGAGACCAGCACTTCCTGCTCTTCAGCAACTTGTCTATTCAAATGATGAAGAGGTTCTTACTGATGCATGCTGGGCTCTTTCATACCTCTCTGATGGCGCGAATGACAAAATTCAAGCTGTGATCGAGGCTGGTGTCTGTCAAAGACTTGTTGAGCTCCTCCTGTAAGTGGCTTTTTGCACTATTGTTTGATGGATAACAGTATTTGTACACTAGGAATGAATTACTTATTTCATTTTCATTCTCACGTGTTTCAGTCATCCGTCTCCTTCGGTGCTTATTCCTGCACTTCGTACAGTTGGGAATATTGTGACTGGTGATGATGCTCAAACTCAGGTAAACATTTTTTTCCACATTCAAGTGCATATTTTGTTTGAATTTTTTTTTTCTTTTTTATTATAGTTTTGCTTGCTGGGAAGCCTGACATTGTTGCAGCTACTATAAGAGAGAAATGGACTGTGTAAATGAAATCTTTATATGCTCGACTTCTTTCTTTGTTTTGCAGTTTATCATCAATAGTGGTGCTCTTCCTTGCTTGCTAAACCTGTTGACTCACCATCATAAGAAGAGCATCAAGAAAGAAGCCTGTTGGACAATTTCAAACATCACTGCTGGAAACAGAGAACAAATACAAGTATATACCTTCTCTTGTATTGTAGTCTTGTAGATATCCATGATAGTGACTTTGGAGTTTGAAAACGAACTCAGATGACATCTTGTTTCATTTCTACATGTTTAAAGTTCTTATGTTGCCCCCAAATGATAAAAAGCTTATCTGTGGAGTTTTTCTCGATCACGATCTTTGCCTCAATGGGATGGTTGGTTATGCTAAACTATTATGTGATGTACATGTACTAGCCTTTTTACTGTTTTTTGTACACATGTTCACTAACCTATATCCCATCTGTTTAATAGGCAGAGATACGAGTGTTTGTTTGCGTCTATTGGTTTCTGTTTAAGGTTTTAACATAGCACCATTTTTATTAGATCATTGACCCAGGTCATATTAATTGTACTCATTTTTGTATGACAGGCTGTAATTGATGCTGGCTTGATTGGTCCCTTGGTGAATCTTCTTCAGAATGCTGAATTTGATATAAAGAAGGAGGCTGCATGGGCTATTTCAAATGCCACATCTGGAGGAACAAATGAGCAGATCATGTATTTTTGTTGTTTCATAACTTTGGTTTAATTTATCAAGCATAATATATATTGTTTGCAACTAAGTTGTGCCCTATATTTCTTATAGGTACCTTGTGAACCAGAATTGTATAAAGCCACTCTGTGATCTCCTGGTTTGCCCCGATCCTAGAATAGTAACTGTATGTTTGGAGGGGCTCGAAAACATACTTAAAGTTGGGGAGGCTGAGAAGGGTAATACTGGTGATGTCAATTACTTTGCTCAGTTGATTGATGAAGCTGAGGGATTAGAGAAAATAGAGAACTTGCAGAGTCATGACAACAATGAGATTTATGAGAAGGCTGTGAAGATGCTGGAGACCTATTGGCTCGAGGAAGATGAGACAATACCTGAAAGTGATGGGAACCAAGCTGGATTCAACTTTGGGGAAAATGGTGTTCAACTTCCACCTGGCGGATTCAGTTTTAACTGAAAGGTGAACTATTTGGTCCCTGTTGATGATTTTAATTATTTGCTTGGTACTTGTATTATCCATCCTTCATGTTTTGGATTATTTTTAATACTATTTGATTTTGAAAGAAGCTTATATTTTAAAATTACAACTATCCCTTGCTGTTTTAATGGAATGTCGTATATTTTCAGGTTTCTTGGGGGGGAGTTGAAATGGAGAAGTCTGTGATGATAGTACCAATGATTTTGGTGAGTCGGGTCATGTCACATCACCGTAATGAGTTTGGTGAGTCGGGTCCAGAGTCTGTCTTGGTCGAGGGGTCGCCTAGTCGGGTCGGGTCGTTCTGCGGTATGATGATTGTGGAGTTGAGGATGGGCAGAGATGGTCAGTCGCGTGTCATTGAGTCGTATTCGCCAGTATGGTCAGGTGTCGTCGAGTCGTATTCCCCCGTATGTGGTTGGGTTGTTTTTAGGGGAATATCTGGCACTGGGTAAAATGATTTTTGGGAGTAAAATGAGATTTTGCAAATGGAGTCTTTTTCATATTTGTTGTGTTCTTTTAATCCAGTGAGGGTCCTGTTAAGGGGCATAACAGTGAGTACTGTTTCTCCCTCCTTTTTAATTTATGCTTTTTTATTCTGGAATTAAACACCAAGTGTTCTGGATTTGAGACTTAAATATATATGTTACGGTTTTTATGATACTTTCCTGAAGGTTTATGATTTACTTGTTTTTATTAGAGGAATTTGCACCACATACAATCAAATATATTTTATATTACATATTTACATCTAATTAATATATATTTGCAAAGATACAAAATCACTTTAAAATATTTGCACATATACTAGAATTCAAAATTTAAGTCACTTTATCCATTAAAATTCACACAGAATAAAAAAACTCTCAACTTCCTCTGTACTCATTCACACACAGAGAATAAAAAAACAATCTCATCGTCAGTCCCCATTTTTTGCATCTTCCCCAACAAGTTTTTTTTAATCAAATCACAAATCACATAAACACTTGATTTCAGATCAATTCTTTTATTATTATTTTTTTTTTTCCTTTTTCCTGTTCCCTTTCATGTGAAGCCTGTGCAACTTTCTCGCTGTCGCCATTAAAGCCCTCACGGAGAACCACCTCTGCGAAAAACCCTCCTCCTTCTTCCTCATTTTCATAACAAAAACCATCCGAAAGGGAAAAATTAGTCCACCGCCGCCGATGAAGCTTCCCTACGGTTATCGTACTTTTCGCCCAATTTTTGCTCCAATCGATTCGAAAGGGCCTCTCCGATCTACCTGGCTCGAATTACTTCCCCTCTTTTGGATTTCACCGGTGAATCCTGCAACATCGCCGGAGTCTACTGCGACGGCAACAGGTGGTGGCCCTCAATCTCGGCGAGGAAATGAGGATGTCCTGCTAGATTTGTGAATTTTTTGATTCATGTGATGGATGTAAGATTGAACAAGATGTTTGACTGTATGTTGATGCCATTAATTTTGATTTATTTAGTTTTTTCGTATCTCTAGAACTGGTCACTTGTAAGCAAATGTATTAAATTTGATTTAATATTGTTGATGAGATTTTTATTATGTTCAGGCGAGAATTCAATAGATTCAGTTATGAAAGCTGGTGACTGATGATTCGTGTTTATGTGTTTTATTTATAGTATGATCATGTTTATATACAGTATATTTTCAGTATATGTTTTCGGTTCATATTTTGATGTGTTTGTTCATAGCCTGATGTTTATATACAATATATTTTCAGTATATGTTTCTGTCGGACTATATCAGTAGTGAATATATATACCGACTATAAACGCAATATATACTGCTCATTCAAACAATAAAGCTATGTAAATAATAAACATAACATATACTGAATATATTAACTATAAACGCAATATTCTGAACCAAAATTCAAACATGCCAATTTTATGGTTAGACAAAAATACTACGTAAATAAAAAAACCATGTTATATACTGAATATATACTAACTATATACGCAATATATACTACCTATTCAAAAAATCGGAGAACTATTCTTGAGTGTAAATGTTGCAACATTTACGAAATATATACTAAATATAAACGCAATATATATTGTTGCGTGAATTACCATGCATGTTTTTATTTCTCTCTCTTAAAATGTGTAAGCTGCGTGAATAATTTATTGTGTCTAATGTGTTTAATGTATCCAATTAAGGAAGTCAATAATTTCTTCAGTAACAGCCGCAAATCATGTGCCCAAAATAATAGGAGTAATTGATTCTTATATTTTATATGCATGATGTTTTGGTAACAGCCTGCATATCAAGTGCTAAAAATAAAGAATGGAGGTTGAAATTGTAAATGGTTTTTAGGCATCAATGTAGTTAATTATTATCGATTAGGTATATATACAATTAATTGTGCATGAATGATAATTTTGTAATATTTTAACAATCACGTGGAATGCATAAAAATTTTCCTTTTTATTACTACTTTATTGTTTGAGATTGTTGGGTTGGACAAGGTTTTTTGTGAAAGATGGTGGGTCCTAATTGGATCTGATGACTGTGCCTAAGTTGGATCCGATAGTATGAGTGGAGCCAAGCTGAGAGTGTGCCGATTGAGTTTAAAAAGCAGTTCTTAGTTTGTTGAACTGCACATACAGAAATGTGCTTGTTTTGGTTCAGGCTGGAGATCTTTAAAAAAGAAAATTAGAAAGTTAAACTAGTAAAGCTCGAGCTTGCTTTGATTGTTGAAACTAATCCAGTTAAAATAAGAAAAAAAATGAGAAAAAGTTTTGACATATTCAATTTCTTGTTCAGTCTTTTTACATTTATTTTTCTATTGTACTCGTTAATAATATTTATTTTTCTAATAAAATTTCTATTTCTTGGGATCCGCTGCAAACCCAGATTCCGACTGGTCCCGTCGAAAATTAATTTATATAGTGATCCTATCTTTTATTATATATAGTCATCCCTATCTATTAAATGTCTAGATAACAATATTACTCTACAATTAATACTCTACAATTAATATGATTACAATATTATTCTACACGTAATAGGATGGATTACAAACTGACGGTTTTGGTTATTTATAGTCATCCTTCCTCTTATGATCTATCTCATCTCTTCCTTTGATAACTATCTAGATCTATCTCATGCAGCTTCCTAGCAATTTTCCTCCTAAACTATATTTTTCTACAAGTTTATTGTGGAATAAGAGATGTTGCATACACACAACATAAATGACTTCATGTTAACTAACGGCAGTTTAGATTGTGCAAAATTCACGTGTTTTGTTTTCATAATTCATACGTTTAAATTAAATTAGGGGAATGCTAAATTAATATATATATATATATATATATATATATATATATATAGGGTTGGGTTCAAGTGAGAAAGGGTGTTAGTGAAAGAAATAAGAATACATCGTGACCATTGGATCGAATGATCTAACTGTTAAAAAAAATTCACATGTTAATACTCATTAAGGGTAATATGGATATTTTACACATCCCCATTAACTAAAACTAATACTCTCAGTGGGCCCCACGTCATAACCCAACAACCTAAATTACAACAGTGGGTCCCACCTCCTAAATCAACCACAGCATATGTGCACTCTCTCTCATCCCGTCAATCCAATTCCCGTCACTGCCGCCGGCGAACAGCAGCCACCGGCGAGCCGCCACCTCCGAGAGCCTAAACGGTTGTCCATCAGCACCGCACCACCAATCACCGCCGCTCTCGACGGAGCCGCCACCGCCAGCCTGCAGCTTCTTCTCCACCTCGACGGGGACAAATACACACCACACACACATCTCGGCCTCCGCCTAACAACGCCGCCCACAGTCGCCACCACCATCGCAGCACAAACTCCGGCCGACTCTCCAATCAACGTGGCACTCCGCCCGCTATCTCCAGTTGGCGGTGTTCCCTGAAATAAGTCTCGCCGTTGGAAAATTCGAAACTTTCTCCTCCTGCAATTTTAGTCTCTGTCATCGTCTGAAACCCGATCTTCCTCAACGTCCATCTCCGACGTCGTCTGAAAACACAAACGTCGAAAATTCAACGGCCGCCGGCTCCACAGATCTCAGCCTCCGCCTCCCGCCCACGGCTTGCGATTCGTCACCACCTATTCCTCGCCGGAAGAATCTAAACGACACGTCTGTAGCGGAGCTGGAATGGTGAAGACTGAAGAGCAGCGATTTTTCTTTTAGGAAGAAGAGCAGCGATTTGAGCTTAAATTGTGGGGCACAAATTTGTAAATTAGATAAGATTGAAGGGTTTAATTGCAAATGCAGATAATTTGTTTATATTTCAATTTGAACCTTGGGCCAAATCTGTAATTTATAATAAATACATACAAAATTATTTTTTTATATATAAGGTATATATATTATTTATTGTAAATCAAAAAATAACATAAAAATATTAAATAAAAAAAATTAAAATACTATATATAATTTTTTAACAGAAATAATAAATAAATTTGATTATTTAGGTACATAAACAATAATTGCACTGCACGTTAGTGATTGTCGGAATGCACAACAGTGTTAGACTAAATACACATTAATGATATGATAATGCACATTAGTGAATAGCATGTTGTACATTAGTATTATTAATGTGCACAATATTATTAATCAGTTTGCACATTAGTGAATATCAGGTTGCACTATAACTGCACGTTAATGCATTCGAAATTATTTTGTTTAAAAAATATTCTTATTTATTTTCAACAGATAATATTATAAAAATATTAAACAAAAGTTCAAAATTACTAAATATATCATCACTACATGAGTTATATAATAAGTGTAAAATAATGTTAATTAAAATGCAAATTATTAAAGTTTCCTAAAATTGAAATGCACATAAAAAATACCCGTTCAATAGAATGCATACGAATGTTATACTAGATGCACGTTTGTGTACCCGTGCTTGCACTTTATTGATTTTGGTATTTCATATATTTATTTTTCTCAACAAAAAATAATATAAAAATTATAACTAATATTATTAACATATTAAATATAAATTTAATATAAAGAACAAATTATTCCAATTGTTTAGGATAATTCGGTTAACTGAATCGAGTAAACCAATTAATTATGTTCAGTTTCAATTTGATTTATAACAAAAGTTCGGTCTGTTCAATCGGCACAATATAGACCGACATTCTGCACCGTAGTGTTAGACGAATTGCACATTAACAACCGATAGATTGCACATTACATTTCGTTTACATATATACCATTTTTTATTACAAAAGTAACATATAATATTAAATAAAAAATATTATAGACTAAACACACATTTAGAATAAAATAATATATTTTGTTTCGATTATTTTGGTTATTTATGTTACCAACAAATTAAGCCGATTACGTCAAATCTTTCAATTCGATTTTTTTCGTTTTGATTATTTGTTTTTATTTGTACTTTTAAAATGCATATCTATAGACAAATCTTGCGGAAATCAATTATCTAGAAAAAATGACGTATTTATCAAATTTTTAATAATTTCGTATATATATGACAATATTTTTTAAAGTGCACATCTATACACAATATTGTGCATCTAATATATCATTATAGTGCATAAATTAATCTTTATTAAATTATAAATTGCCATTAACTAATAAAATATACATATATTAAAAGTTCAAGAAATTGTAAAATAACCCCCTAAATAGATCTAATTTCCCAAAAAGGCACCCCAAAACAATGAAGCGCGACTCATCCCGCCCAATCTCAGCCCCAATTTCACCGCCACCGTCAATCAGCCGTCGGCGCCACCGTCAATCAGCCGTCGGCGTCACCGTCATCCCGCCCCAACCGCCGCCATACAACCCGTGACGTGAACCACGATTGAGCCTGAGCCTCCACCTCGTAGGGCTTCTCGCCGGAGCCTCCTGCGGAGAAGGAGACGGGAGTAGCTACAGTGGACGTCGGATTTTCAGACGCGGCGGAGCGCCGCCCAATCAGATTCGGAGCGGCGGCCGAAGGGCGACACCGGAGACCGCAACCACGATGAAGACCCGGAGGGAGACACGGCGGAGTCACGCTCCGATGCACGGCAGAGGCACGACCGGAGTAATCTCTTGAATCGCGGCAGTCCCTGGCGGGTGGCGGAGGAACGGCGGAGACGCGCCGGAGGTACGGTTGAAGCCGGCGGAAGCACGACGGCAGTATCTGGCGGCCTGGTCTTCTCTGTGTGTGTGTGTGTGTGTGTGTGTGTGTGCGTGTGCGTGTGCGTGTGCGTGTGCGTGTGCTGAGTGTGTGCGTGTGTGCTGAGTGTGTGCGTGTGTGCTTGTGTGTGTTTGTGTGTGTGTGGGGTATAAACATTAGGGTTGGTATGTTAGTTTGTAATGACAGATTTGCCCTTATTGAATAGTCAATGTGCACATTTGACCACAATGT